TGTGCTGTACTGTCTCCAGCAGGATGTCTTGAAGTTGGTTTGTTTAGACAACAAGATCAATATCATCTACAGCTTTTGGGGACAATTGACAGCTATGTTAGATTTGATATATATTTCTTTGTTGCTCTTGATGCTACATTACACTGGTAATTATAACTATCATCTCTTATCTCATTTTAACCTCACTAGAAAACTACCCAACATTGATATCAATGTGTTAACTTTAACCACAGCAACACCATTCTACTTATGGTAAAACTCTTTCAATGTTTGAGAATATCCCTTAAGAAAAGATAAAACTTTATTCTAACTAACATCCAACAGTTATTGAAATATTATGAAACATAAAACACACACATACACCAATTCATAGGGTCACTGGCTTCTAAAACAGATGCATACATTTTATGAAGTGTCGTTGTCATTACAAGCTCAAATAAGCCTTTGTAATGACCCTGATCTCAAGTACTGTGAAATGTATTTTAATATATGAGGCTCAAAAACATAAAATAGTTCAAATTAAATGCAAAAGTACTCACAAGAGATGTTTTATTTATAGTTTGAAGTGTCTACAACATTTCAAAAATTGCTTTTGTTGGTATCCAAAGTGAGTGATCTGTTTCTATCCCACATTTGTTTGGCACTCTATATTCCCCACAGTTATGATATAATCAACAGAATTAGCTATTTTCTTTATGAGATAACCTATGTAAAAGCTATAAGAATCATATTTTAACTTTATATATGTTAATGCTAAAAAAAGTGACCTAATATATTAGCTGTTTTTTTTAAAAAAAAAAACTTGTTAAAAAAGCATTATCCAACATGCAGGAGTCAATTTTTCTTAGTGTGGTGACCTGTACTTCTCTGTAATGCTGGATGATAGGCCACTGGTGGTTTATATACCATTAGGATCACTCATGTTAGACAGATTTCAGTGGGAATTCCAGGATAAAGGAGAATATAAAGTTTAAGTTTTTAAAATTAGCCAATGAAACCTTGTTAATAACAGCAAAATATAACTTATTGAGTCTTGAA